CGTCGATTTACAACCACAATTGACCCCCAAAATTCTGTTGCTAAGTGGAAAATTCTTTTGTTAAGTGAGTTTTGCCCCCTTTTGTGACCTTTCTTGTCAAACCTGTTAAATGAATCACTGCAATTGGTAAATTTGTAATCTGGTTGTTAAATGAATCTAGCTTCCCCATTGACTTTGCTTGTCAGAAGGTTGCAAAAGGGGGACACATGACCCGAGGATGCTGCAACGGTCATAAGTATGAACCACTTGGCAAACATCTGAATTTTGATCAGATAGGGATGCTGCAAACGTCTGTGGAAAACAGTCATAAATCACTTTTTTCAGTGCTGTTGTACCTTCAAACAGCCACAAAATGAACTGTTGTAAATCGAGGACTATCTGTACTAGAAATCACTGCATGGGGTTATCACATTTCAAGGAATGTTTGCTGGTGTTTGGGTATTTAGTTTACGCTTGAAATCCTGCATGGCTATAAATTGGGAAATTACTCAGAAGGCATTTTGCTGCAGCCAGATAAACTTAGAAACACCCCACATGTGTGTCAATACACTGCATGCATCTCAGTTTGTGTGATGCAGGCAACAGTACATTAGCGTACAAACTTAATAAATAATGCTGGTTTGGCTAGAACAGCATGAGCATGGATGAGATAAAACTGGGATTTGAATGGTTGGCATTTTTCTTACCTTTAGCAGAAAATATTGCATATGGAAGGGGTACGACATACATACAATGTATGAAATGATATATAGACAAGGTGAAAGCCAGAGTGATTTCATGGATAGAAAAATATGAAAAACCATTAATATTTCAGACTTCACTTCTTTGCCTAACGTTGTTTACTCCAAAAAGGAAGGGAAATATTACACGATGCGTAAACAACGTTAGGCAAAGAAATGGAGTTTGAAGTAGTAGTAAAAAAAAGACAGGATATTCAAACAGGAAATATAGTTATATTCAGTTTCTTTCAGGTATCCTGATTTCATCTTGATCATCAGCTATAGATTTGATGGGCTTTTGGGTCAGAGAATAAGTTTGAACTGATTGAACTAAGCAACCTAGCAAAGTTTGATGAGAAGTACAGGATGATGTTGTTAGTCGTGAAGTTGTGTCTGACCCATTGAGACCCCATGGACAACGTTCCTCCAGGCCTTCCTGTCCTCTACCATCCTCTGGAGTCCATTTAAACTCACATCTACTGCTTCAGTGACTCCATTTAGCCACCTCACTCTGTCATCCCTTCTTCTTTTGCCCTCAATCTTTCCTAGCATTAGGCTCTTCTCCAGTGAGTCCTTCCTTCTCATTAGGTAGCCAAAGTATTTGAGTTTCATCTTCAGAGAGCAGTCAGGGTTGATCTCCTCTAGGACTGACCACTTTGATCACCTTGCAGTCCAAGGGACTCGCAGGAGTCTTCTCCAGCACCATAGTTCAAAGGCCTCAATTATTTGGCACTCAGCCTTCCTTATGGTCCAACTTTCACAGCCATACATTGCAACTGGGAATGCACAGGATGTAATTAATGATTATTTTACATGGGGTAAATTGGTCTAGAAATTAAGTTATTTGTTAGCTTTGGCAGAGCAATGAGCATTACTAAAGCATAAGAAGCGGTGGGCCAGCAAAAGCTGTTTAGGGGAATCAAGAAATGCAAGGGTTTTATCATATACCATGATACCCGGGCAGAAGAGAAACCAAACTTCTAAATGTGGAAAGAAGTTCAGCCAGAACTCAAGCTTGTCAACTATTGGTGTACACATTTTTATGAAAAACCCTACAAATGATGACTGTGGCTAATACATGAGTCAGCTACGACCTGAATAGGCATCAAAAAATCTTCCTTAGAGGGGAGCCCTATAAGTGCAGTCAGTNCCCTCCCTCCCTCCCTCTCTCCCTCTCTCCCTATCTCTCTCTCTCACCTCTCCCCTGTCTTATTCTCTCATTCTCCTAGGCAATCCTCCTTTGCCAACTGTGCCATCTCTCTCTCTCTCTCTCTCTCTCTCTCTCTCTCTCTCTCTCTCTCTCTCTCTGAATTCACTGAGTTTCCTTCTGAATAATGCATGCAAAGTA